GTTCACCTTTTTAAAGTCTTCAATAGTGAGGCACAAATGTCTGTCTGATTGAGTTGCTATCGTGAACTCCCTAGGCCTCAAGAACCCATAGATTGCTACGTACATAGTGGTTTTTAAGACCATATTTGTATGAGGGTCAGGGCTGCCATCAAAAATTTTGGGGCCCCTGACACAGCTCAAGGTCTGGGCCCCGCGGTGCCTGCACCCGAGTCCGCCCAAAGTGCTACCCCCCACCCGAGTCCGCCCACAGGGATGCAGTGTCTGCACGGCCGGTGCAAGGATTTTTGCAGCCCTAGGCAAAAGTAAAGTTTGCTGCCCCCCCATGTGACTTCACAATGCCCCACCCATATGATCTGCCATGTTAACTAACACCAGTGCTGCAGTGCCACCGTGTTTACATTAAAAGGCCTGCAGGGACAGGCTAGACACCAGAACCACTACATTAAGCTGCAGTGGTTCTGGGGACTATAGTGTCCCTTTAATGTGAGGTAAATTAGAGATTAGTGCCACGAATAATATACTAGATTGCCTACTTACAACCAGATGAGGATGATGATGGGCTCCAGCTGCAGTCTGGCTCCACTGGTCTGGTGCAGAACAGGCTCTCTGGAGGCGGTTTGTAACTGTGGTCACAAAAATCAATGTTCTGGGAGAACGGGAAGCAGCTCCATTTTTTGGGGGTCCTTTACACAGCTCAAGGTCTGGGTCCCAGGGTCTACCTTCATGTTCCACCAATGAGTTTGTTCACAGGGGGTGGAGTGTGTGTGGGGGGGATGTCCTGATGTGTGTAAGGAATGCATTGTGTGAATCTGTGTTTGTATGTGTAAGGGCTGCAAGGTGAGTTTGTGTATGAATGGGATGCAGTGTGTGCGTCTGTAAGGGATGCATTGAGTGTGTGTAAGGGATGCATTGCTTGTGTATGTGTGTCTGTGTGTAATGCATTGTGTGTTTTTCTGTGTGCAAGGGGTGCATTGAGTGTGTGTGATGGATGTCAATCTCTCCCCCCCCCCGGCCAATTCTCCTTCTCTCCCTCCCCCTCACACTTCCCTTCTCTCCCTCCCCCCTATCACTTCCTCCTCCTTTCTCCCCTCTCCACTAATACCTTTCTCCCCCCCCTCCAATTTCCTTCTTCTCCCCTTCCCTCTCCAACTTCCTTCTTCTCCCTCCCTCTCCAATTTCCTTCTTCTCCCTCCCTCTCCAATTTCCTTCTTCTCCCACCCTCCAAGTTCCTTCTTCTCCCCCACCCTCCAATTTCCTTCTTCTCCCCTTCCCTCTCCCACTTCCTTCTTCTCCCCCTCCCTCTCCAACTTCCTTCTTCTCCCCCCTCCAACTTCCTTCTTCTCCTCCACCAATTTCCTTCTTCTCCCCTCTCCAACTTCCTTCTTTTCTCCCCACCCTCCACCTCTCTCTTCTTTCTCCCCTCTCCAACTTCCTCTTCTTTTCCCCTTATCCAACTTCCTTTCTTCCCTCCAACTTCCTTTCTCCCCTCCCTACTTCTTCTTCTCCCCTCCTCTTATTTCCTTCTCCTCCACTCCTCCTCTCTTCTTCTCCTACTTCCTTCTTCTCCCCCCTCCAACTTCCTTCTTCTCCACCCCCCCTCAAATTTCCTTCCACATACTTTTTTTTTTCCATCCCCCCAGCCTCCCGACCTGTAGGACTGCTGAGGGGATTCCCTGGGGTCCAGTGGTGTCACCCGGCGGCCGGTCCTGCGGGCGCGCGCGTGCAAGGGAGCACTCTCCCTGGCTGAGTGCTTCCTCGCGCGCCGTGTACTGATGCCGGCGCCAGAAGATGACGTCATCTTCCGGCTCCATCATCAGTGCGGTGCACAAGGGAGCTGAAGAGGAAGCACTCAGCCAGGGAGAGTGCTCCCTCGCACGCCCGCCTGGTGACCGGCTGTTGGGCCCCACCAGGAGAAGAGGCTGGCCCAGTGGGTACATACTGGGGTCGCAGGGCCCCCTGCGACCCGGTATGTACACCACTGAATGTGGGGCCCGGACGACCTGAGCAGTCCGGGCCCCCCAGGACCGCCGGGCCCATGACAACCGTTACGGTTGTCATGCCCTGATGGCGGCCCTGATGAGGGTCAAATGGTTGTGTCCATCATGTCCAATAAGGCCCGGAATTTTTCCCCATCTATAGGAAGGCGTTTCTGTTTAGTGTGGTGATTTGATTTATTAATGCCTTTCAGTATGTTCTGTATAGGGTAAGAAGTTAGAAAAGAAGCATGATTTGGTATAGTGGTCATGATGTGATTTTGTACTCCTGATAGATAGAGTTTGATTGTGTTGTATGACATTTTGATATGAAGGTGGCGAAATGCGGCAAATGCTACCATGGTTTGGATCAAATAATTGTGAATTTTAAACTCTAAAGTGAACCGCTTAAAAATGACCATAGCTCTATTATAGTTTTTTTGTGTGTTTACGAATAATGCTGCCCGCGCCAGTTTCCTGCCATGTGCCAATAGATGGGTAAGTCTAGGATTAAGTTGTTGAATTCCGGGGTATGAGTTGGGTATTTGTTGGCAGAAGGGTGAAGAGTGAAGAATTCCTGACATTTGCAATGAAATAAGGCATCAGCGGCTGAATTAATGTAGCCTGGTATATGTTTGCAGAAGAGAAAAAACTGGTATGTGGCAGCCAACCAGGTCAGCCTGCAAACTAACCTCATAACGGTCAATGAAGATGACCGACCCTTATTAATTATTTCACAGGCCGCCATGTTGTCGGTATAATTGCCATTCCTGACCAGGATTTAGCCCATGTAAATGCAGCTGCTACTATCGGGTAGATTTCGAATAAAGTGGACGTTTAGCAAAAGGAAGGCAGTTGGAGCGTGTCTTTCGGCCAGTGTGATACTTAGGAAAATGAGAATGGTGGTGGGTTCAGTAGTTTTGTCTTGGGAAAGCCAAGAGTTGAAAATAGTGCTGTTGTGCTTTTTAAGCTTAGAGGAGTGCTACTACTATGTTCCACCATTAAAAAATCATCTAGATAGTGTATAACCGTGGAACACCTAGTGATGTTTAGGAGAAGCAAAAAAAGAGTCTCGGAAAACGTGTCAAAATTTTAGGGCTACTTTTTGCGCCAAAAGTTATTCTAGTAGCAAAATAACCCGTGAACATGCCATAACGAGGGTTGAATAGGTAGTAACTTGAAAGCATTGGTGATATCTGCCTTGCTAAGCCTACCAGCCTTCAGGATTGCCTGTATAACATTATCCACAGTGGTGTAGTGTAAAGAGAATTCAGAGGATGGTATGAGAGAGTTTAGGCTTGGGTTTGTAGATGAATGAGGTGCCAGTAGGTCAATGATTAACCGTTTTTTATTCGAGTATTTGTTGGTGGCGATACCAATCAGATTAGTGCTACAGGAAGAAAAGGGAGGGGAGGAAAAGGGGCCTAACATGAAACCTTTTTGAACTTCTTTCCTAATAAGATCATCAACTGTTAAAGTGAGTCATTCATAGCGGATAGGAAGTTGGGACATTCTAAAGTACCTACGTGGAGAGCCACTAGCTCAGTGTGGAAACTTTGTGAAAAACCGTGAATTATGTATTCCACCAAGTGAGGGGAAGGGTGAGTTTTCAAGTAGTATGCCAAGTTGTCTATCTTTACCTCAGTAAGTCATTGTCTGGGGTTCAGTTTTGAAGGGCACACGGACCTAGTATGTGCCCTAAAGCATACAGAACACACGTGCAGAAATCTGCAGGCATTGACACTACAAACTCCTTCCTTAAAATTGTTACAGACTTGTGCCTTCCCCAGGAAAACAATGGGTCGTCTGAGTTTATCTTTTAGACCGCTTTGGTCAGGCTTGCTAGACCCACCTGGTTGATTCAAATATGTTGGGGGGGTCTGCTTAGTGGTATGGGAGGTGGATGAGCAGACCAACCAAGCCTGCAAAACGTCTGCAAAAGAGCTCTGTGTCCAACTGGCTCCAGTCGGTACGGATGTTAAATTGGGCCAGGGCTGCTGCTGCTTTTGCTGACACGGACTTGTGATAATCATAAAAAAAAAACGTACTTATGGCCCAAGTCCACCAATTTGTGCATGTAGAGGTCAAGTTCTTCACGGCGCTGAAGATAAACAGAACATACAACGTCCCTATATACACTGAAGGCTAGGACAAACTCAGGGATGGTGAGTTTTTTTGTTTAGTTGTGGGTCTCTAGCCTTCATTGCAACAGCTAAGTCGCAGTAATTGTACAGTCTTTTTTGACAACATCCTGTGAAGCGATTAACATAGAGACTAGATTTACGTCTTTCCCCTCTAGAATAATTTTGCGGAGAGCCGGGGGGACCATGTGTGCCGGGGTATGACGTGGGTGAAGGGGGGAGTAAGAGGTGAAGCAGGAGCCCTACCCTGCGTGCTGGGAGGTTTGAGTGCCTGTGCAGATCCTACGGGAGGTGGATCTATCTGAGCCGAGCTGGCATTTTCCAATTTTGTCAGTCTTTCATTTATGGACTGCAGGGACAACAAAATGGTGTCCAAAGTTCCTTGTATATTTGAGTTGTGTCCAACTCCTGGGAGGAGTTAGCCTTGCTGGTACCCAACCCAGGTACCTCAGGATGAGCTGTGAGCAGATTGAAAAGTTCTGCTTTGCTTGTCGTGGCTGGGAAGGGGATGCCCCTAAAGGGCAGTTAAGCCGAGATCCTGGGGATAGTCCAGGAGCACAGCAACCCTGGTGTGGAGGGTTCTTGAAACTCGGTGGGGGTACCATGTCTAACTGGGGTACTAGGCCTAGCGGGTGTGCTAGGGTGGGGATGATTCTTTGCCTATGTTGGTCTCCTGGGACATACTGCAAAATACAAAACAACAAGGTCTGATTAACATATCCCCGGTAAACTTTGTAGAACTGGCTCTCTAACTAGTGCCGAAGTGAAAAACTTTCTACCCCGTGACATGTGAGGCCCTACTAGTTGCCAAGTGGCAGGAGAGAGGCTCTATTTATGATTTGGACCATGGGGCTCGAGCCACTAATGTGGTGGCGGGGTGTTGGCCTCTCGGTGACAGTAAAAGATTAAAAACGTGTGGCCGTGACAGGTGAGCCACTAACTATAAACCCGATAGGTGGGTGAATGCAACGCTCTAACTATGATTTGGGCCGCTGGGCGAAATCTCTGTGTTGACATTGGGGGTTTAGCCTCGCGGGACCAGCTATTATAAATATATCTAAGGCCAGCACCTAACCCTGAACAGCCAATTCTCTGACCCTGGACGGGGGTCTTGATAAAGGGAAGATATGAACATAATTGTGAAACACACCTAGCCAACCACAAATTGTGATTCCTTGAAACAAAAAATTCCCTATGAGACCTAAAAACGTAAAATAATAAAAAAAACACCTAAGTACTGTATGGTGGGAGTTCCTTAATAATAGTGCTGACAGCTTATTCTTTGTGACCGAGACCCGAGCATGCTAGGAAACATAGAATTTGTTACCATATTTCTGAAGGAATTCCCGTGTCTAGTAGTAGAGAGAAATAAAAGGAGGAAGTTGAACAAGAGGTATCTGCGATTAAGCCCGAGACCAACAGAAAAGTGGACATAGAATAAGATTGTATACTATCAGATAGTGAACGTTTAGATAAGATCGTATAATGGATTGGCCGAGTAATGCCGTGGTCTAACGAGGCAAGGCGGGAATCAAGCCCCCGTTCCCTACTAACCCTTCTTATGGACGTAGCATGGCATATTGTAGAGAGAGAAACTTGAATTTTAAATACCTTGCTGGAAAGCAGGAGCAAATAAACGAACAGGCAATACAGGCCTAGAGGGTAGTCGAAACCTCGGGATACCTGAAATTAAGGTATAGTATGTAAGCCATAAATTGGTTGTATATCCTTATAAATGCATAGAAAAATGACACACATAAGCAATGAAAGTAACCCCCTCTAAGTGTATGTATGTCATAACAAAACATATTTTTTTTTTAACAACAATGTAGTTCTAATGAATGTTATATAAATTAGAACACCTTATAACTACAAAGAGTAACATACAAAGTAGAATAATTACACTGCTCCTGACATGTGAAAAACCTGTATAGTTGGTAACCCATAACGTTTCTTAACCTAATTGTGTCTGATACTCAAACTTAGGAGCAAAAAGAACAGATACTGCAAGTTCTCAGTTCATAAACACCCCTGAGGCTTGCTGCATCACCTGGAAATCAAGATATAGCTATGTAGTCCTACAGATGAACTGGCTAATGATATAAAGACTACTAAGGATCAGATGTATCAAATGATAAATACAAAAAAGTAAATAAGTAAATAAATAAATAATGTATAATCCTATAGAAGTGAAACTGATACTCCCATGTCACCCAGAGTACAGAGTCCAATAGGTAAATATATAGAGTTAATAAATACTGAACAAGCAGCCCTATCTAGATAACAACTTTACTAGAAAAAATTCTGAGTAGGGATGGGTCCAGTATAAAAATCAAAAATACCTAGAACAGGACTGTCTCTGGGTATTCACTACTTATACCTGTCTAATATCCATATGATGAGTGCGGTGATTGTGTGAATGCAAAAAGCCACCTCTATCTGAAGCAGGGGCAGTATACATCAAAAACACAGACTCCTCCAATTACATACAGGAAAAGATTAAGTATAGAACACAGAGAGAGAAGAAAAATAATTTAAATATTCAGTTTCTAAAAAACTGACAATGTACAGTTACAAAAGCCTCTCTCCCTGGTAAACTGACTAGATAGACATAGGAGCAGAAATAAAGTAAGTGAAAAGTATAGTAAACATAAAAATCAAAAAAATCCCATAGAATTAGTGCCAAACATGGCACTAATTCTATGGGATTTTTTTCTAAGTAGATTTTGACTGAAGCAGTATGGTGATCTATACTAGCCTCCTAATACTTACCTATGGGAAAGCTTTGGATTGGGGGAGGAGTACCGTAACGGATCCCCTATACTCTGGCTGAGTATATCCGCTGAAGAGTGTCCCTGGTCCCGCAGAGTGAAAGTGTGTTATAGTATCCCAAGACTTGATGAAGGGTAAATCAGAATGTTTTATTAGGGCCAAGTTGCCAGGTCATACCCCCAGCAGGGCCGGCACTTCCATTAGGTCAGTTAGGCAGTGGCCTAGTTCGCTGTTTAACCGAGGGCGCTCGCAGGGGCTGTAATAATCATCTGAACTCACCACTTGAATACGCAGAGCGTGTATCACCTCCCCCGTGACAGAGCTGCCGTGAACGCCCGCCCCTCACTTCTCTATCCCTCCTCCACTCTTGCCATAAGGAGCGATATAACCCCGCCTCTGGCCGGGCAGATAATCTGATACATGGCCCCCCCACATCTAAACCCGCCTCTCCCCACCCCAATCTGCATCCCCACCTGCCTTTACCCACTCCTCCCAAGACCCTAAATCCAGACACCAAAGCCCCCATTTGAATATGTGAGAGCTTGCTGTGTTTGTGTGTGTCTGTTAGACAGTGTGTGTGAGTGTATGTATTAGGCAGCGTGTGTGTCTATCAGACAGTGTGTTTGTGTGTGTGTGTGTGTGTATTAGACATTGTACTATTATACAGCATGTGTATGTATTAGACATTGCGTGTCTATTATACAGTGTGTGTGTGTGTATGTATTAGACATTGTGTGTCTATTATACAGTGTGTGTGTATGTATTACACAGTGTGTGTCTATTAGAGAGTGTGTGTATGTATTACACAGTGTGTGTGTCTATTAGACAGTGTGTGTATTAGACATTATGTGTCTATTAGACAGTTTGTGTGTGTGTGTATGTATTACACAGAGTGTGTGTCTTATAGACAGTGTGTGTGTGTTTGTTAGCTAGGGTGCATGTATACTAGACTGTGACAGTGTGTGTGTGTGTATGTATTAGGCTGTGTGTGTGCGTATTAGACATTGTATGTCTATTAGACAGTGTGTATGTATGTATTACACATTGTGTGTGTGAGTCTATAAGAGAGTGTGTGTATTAGGCAGTGTATGAGGCCCTGGAGAGAAAGCGCAGCTAAGCGGACAAGGGCACATGTAGGAGTGTGGGGGTAGATGCGTGGGAGTGTCTTGGGAAGTGTGTGTGTGTGTGGGGTTAGGCCAGCAAACAGCTTCCCGCCCGCCCACCCCTTGTAGTATTAGTTAGTCACAGCGAGCCGGGGGTATGTCCTTGCCAATTAAGTTTGAGGGGTTATATTTAAGGATGGAGTAAGTTTCATTATGTTTGCAGGTCTCAACCTCCCCTGCTTCAAAGGGTTAACCATAGGTTGCCTGAGGTGTCGTGCCCATTGAGCGTGGATAAGGTCGGCTGATGGCGGGCATTGGAAGGATATGATTTATGACGAGGGGGGAGGTGAGAGGAAGTGGTGATTAAGAACCACTGTATGTTTATTGGCAAGGACGTTTGGGTCACTGTATAACACTGTGTGGAGTTATATATGTATATATGTTAATTTATGATTATTTATTTCTAACAATTTGCAAAAAGACAAAATATAAGTGGAGCTCTGATTTACCTGTATGGATAGTAGTATAATACAGATGGATAAAAATGCTTAAACAAGAATCTGTAAATAAGTAACAATAAAATCTAAGTGCAGACAGTAGTTTCAATGTAAATATATAAAATGGATAGTAAATAGGTAACTCACAAACATAGAGCCAATAACACACTTGGCTCTAGTGGTCAATGCCTCTGGATCTTCTTAGGGGAGATCCACCACCCTCTTTTGATTGCCTCCTGATGTCCTCCACTTTAGATTTGAGTATGGATGGAATGGATAAAATGGCAAACTCCAAATGGTAGTGTTGGCAAGAATTTATTATATAAAACAAATATTCTGGTAAATTAAAATGAAAAGAATATTTGATAAAAGTACATAAAATCCCAAAACGCGTTTCGCCAATAAACTGGCTTCCTCAGTTGGTATAAAAGTCCTTGCGTCCTCCTGTTCTTTTTTATATATGTGCTTAATGGCATAATGATCGGCATCTGTTACACCGGAAGAACGCTCTGTGGAACGCACACAGAGCGAGTTGGAACGCACGTATAGACGTGCGTGCGGAAGTCACGTGACATAGTTTTTCAACTCCGTGGAACGCTAACATATGCGTTCCACCATCTTATGACGTAAGATCCGGCTGCTATACTTCCTCTTTCTTCGTGGAACGTATGCGTTCCACTGCCGGAACTCTTTTACTGAACGCAAAAGTCCCAAAAAGATTAATGTCCATTAATTCTCAAATGTGTCAATAGGAGAAAGAAACATAAACACAATAATTACATCACAAATAAATTATAGCATGATAATCATGGGTGTTGATAGATATATTGTGAACTATATAATATGACCTTTAAAGAGTAAATAATAGTATCCAATCTCTATAATTGTGAGCAATAGCAGATACAAAAGTGAATAAAAATTTAGGAGGGTGGAGAAAGGATTATTAAAAATGCATATAATAAAAAATCATTTATACAGAACTATTAAATAGGGGAAAATCGGTTATAAAAAGTGACATAATTCAAAATCCAAATTTAATCCATAAGGAACCATAGTATTAAAATTGAAAATAAAAGACATTTCTTCTATCCCAATTTTTTTAATGAAATCTCCACCCCTCCAATTTTTTTTAACTAATTTAAGTGCACAAAACATAAGACCCTGTGGGTTTTGATGGTGGTATTGTTTGAAATGTTGTGAGACACTATGTGTGTCAACTCCTTTTTTAATGTTTCTCACATGTTCTGAAACTCTGACATGGAGGCACCTAATAGTCCTCCCTATATACATTTTGTTACACGGACAGATTAATAAATAAATAATATTTTTAGAGAAACATGTCAGTTGGTCTCTTATTGTAAACTCTTTATTGGTAATTTCATTCGTGTTTTTGATGTGTCTCTTTTTACTTGTTGTTTCCCTACATGCGAGGCACGTTCCACACCCATAAAAACCTTTACTTTTTGTTAAGAAGTTGTCATTTTCATTCTGATGATTCCTCAAATTACTGTTTACTAAAAAATTCTTTATATTCTTACATCCCCTATGTACAATTTTGGGTCTCTCTGGTAATATTTCTTTTAAAATTGGGTCGTCCTGTAATAAGTGCCAATACTTGTTAATGGCATATCGTACTTTCTTATTATTTGCAGAAAAATTACAAATAAAAGGAATGTTGCATTTGTTATCTTCTATTCTTGCTTTTTTCTTTTTATATATTAGTAATTCTTTTCGCTCTAATTTTGTTATCTCTTCTATACCCTTTTGTAGGTCTTCTTCTTTATATCCTTTTTCTAAGAATTGATTTTTAATCGTCTGAGTTTGTCTTAGAAAATCTTCTTTTTTAGTACAGTTTCTTTTTAACCTCATAAACTGGCTTTTGGGTGCATTCGTAAGCCACGGAGTGTGGTGACAACTAGTGAGATCTATGTATCCATTGCAATCTACCTCTTTAAAATAATTTCTTGTGAAAATGTTTCCCTCTTCTATAAAGACAGTAAGATCTAAAAAATTGACTTCCACTCTACTTTGAGTGGAAGTTAAGCTGATTCCCCAGTCATTGCTATTTAAAAAACTTAAAAAATTACTCAATTTTAAATCATTTCCCTTCCAAATAAAAAATATATCATCAATGTAACGGCGATAGGTGACCAAGTCCGCAAAAAATTCACTATGTAAAATAAATGTTTCTTCCCAATACGCCATGAAGAGATTTGTGTAACTTGGTGCGAACTTGGTCCCCATCGCCGTTCCATTGATTTGCAAATAAAAACTGTCTTTAAACCAAAAAAAATTGTTGGTCAGAATTAAAGACATTTTACATAGTGAATTTTTTGCGGACTTGGTCACCTATCGCCGTTACATTGATGATATATTTTTTATTTGGAAGGGAGATGATTTAAAATTGAGTAATTTTTAAAGTTTTTTAAATAGCAATGACTGGGGAATCAGCTTAACTTCCACTCAAAGTAGAGTGGAAGTCAATTTTTTAGATCTTACTGTCTTTATAGAAGAGGGAAACATTTTCACAAGAAATTATTTTAAAGAGGTAGATTGCAATGGATACATAGATCTCACTAGTTGTCACCACACTCCGTGGCTTACGAATGCACCCAAAAGCCAGTTTATGAGGTTAAAAAGAAACTGTACTAAAAAAGAAGATTTTCTAAGACAAACTCAGACGATTAAAAATCAATTCTTAGAAAAAGGATATAAAGAAGAAGACCTACAAAAAGAAGAGATAACAAAATTAGAGCGAAAAGAATTACTAATATATAAAAAGAAAAAAGCAAGAATAGAAGATAACAAATGCAACATTCCTTTTATTTGTAATTTTTCTGCAAATAATAAGAAAGTACGATATGCCATTAACAAGTATTGGCACTTATTACAGGACGACCCAATTTTAAAAGAAATATTACCAGAGAGACCCAAAATTGTACATAGGGGATGTAAGAATATAAAGAATTTTTTAGTAAACAGTAATTTGAGGAATCATCAGAATGAAAATGACAACTTCTTAACAAAAAGTAAAGGTTTTTATGGGTGTGGAACGTGCCTCGCATGTAGGGAAACAACAAGTAAAAAGAGACACATCAAAAACACGAATGAAATTACCAATAAAGAGTTTACAATAAGAGACCAACTGACATGTTTCTCTAAAAATATTATTTATTTATTAATCTGTCCGTGTAACAAAATGTATATAGGGAGGACTATTAGGTGCCTCCATGTCAGAGTTTCAGAACATGTGAGAAACATTAAAAAAGGAGTTGACACACATAGTGTCTCACAACATTTCAAACAATACCACCATCAAAACCCACAGGGTCTTATGTTTTGTGCACTTAAATTAGTTAAAAAAATTGGAGGGGTGGAGATTTCATTAAAAAAATTGGGATAGAAGAAATGTCTTTTATTTTCAATTTTAATACTATGGTTCCTTATGGATTAAATTTGGATTTTGAATTATGTCACTTTTTATAACCGATTTTCCCCTATTTAATAGTTCTGTATAAATGATTTTTTATTATATGCATTTTTAATGATCCTTTCTCCACCCTCCTAAATTTTTATTCACTTTTGTATCTGCTATTGCTCACAATTATAGAGATTGGATACTATTATTTACTCTTTAAAGGTCATATTATATAGTTCACAATATATCTATCAACACCCATGATTATCATGCTATAATTTATTTGTGATGTAATTATTGTGTTTATGTTTCTTTCTCCTATTGACACATTTGAGAATTAATGGACATTAATCTTTTTGGGACTTTTGCGTTCAGTAAAAGAGTTCCGGCAGTGGAACGCATACGTTCCACGAAGAAAGAGGAAGTATAGCAGCCGGATCTTACGTCATAAGATGGTGGAACGCATATGTTAGCGTTCCACGGAGTTGAAAAACTATGTCACGTGACTTCCGCACGCACGTCTATACGTGCGTTCCAACTCGCTCTGTGTGCGTTCCACAGAGCGTTCTTCCGGTGTAACAGATGCCGATCATTATGCCATTAAGCACATATATAAAAAAGAACAGGAGGACGCAAGGACTTTTATACCAACTGAGGAAGCCAGTTTATTGGCGAAACGCGTTTTGGGATTTTATGTACTTTTATCAAATATTCCTTTCATTTTAATTTACCAGAATATTTGTTTTATATAATAAATTCTTGCCAACACTACCATTTGGAGTTTGCCGTTTTATCCATTCCATCCATACTCAAATCTAAAGTGGAGGACATCAGGAGGCAATCAAAAGAGGGTGGTGGATCTCCCCTAAGAAGATCCAGAGGCATTTACCACTAGAGCCAAGTGTGTTATTGGCTCTATGTTTGTGAGTTACCTATTTACTATCCATTTTATATATTTACATTGAAACTACTGTCTGCACTTAGATTTTATTGTTACTTATTTACAGATTCTTGTTTAAGTATTTTTATCCATCTGTATTATACTACTATCCATACAGGTAAATCAGAGCTCCACTTATATTTTGTCTTTTTGCATGTTCTGTGTTGTGAAGGTTAAGGGATTCCTTCACTTAAGTGTTAGAGCCTGTTTTTCACCTTGCTAGTTTTGTGTGCACCGTTCTATTTCATATATATAGTATTTATTTCTAACAATTTGTTTACAGAAAAGAAGAATTTTAATAAATAAAGTTATGGATGTGTTATGCAGTAATTTAATTATGTTATAATAAATGCTGTGGCCTGTTCATCCATACTAAGTTGTCTGTCGTTATTGGGGGGTTGAATGGGGTTAGTTATGTTTATGCTGCATCGTAATTCCCCACTACGTACATACCTGTCTTTTAGACAGTGTGTGTGGGTACTAGACAATGTGTGTGTGCAGGACCGCCATCAAGGCTTGACAACCATGACGGTTATATATGCGCCCCTGCATATGCCTAGGTGGTCGGGAATTCGCGGAAACGAGAGGCCAAAAATAGTTCCAGGCATTCGCCAACCAAGTACTGCTGCCTGCATTCGGGAGACAAAATGGTTCGGTTATACGAATGGTGACCACCCAGGAAAAGCACTCAAGCAAAGGTGTCAAGTTGTTAGTTTGTGGTTAACAGCCAGGGGAGGTCGGTGTTCACTGAGGCATAACAAGGGACCACACACCAGGGGGTACAGATAACCGAACATAAGGGAATGGAGTCTGCTACAGATATATCCCCAATCAAAGCATGCATTGAATTATGGATATTTTCATTGGTGGTTTATCTAACAGCTTACAAATGGTGCCGATAACTTGTCTGCAGCCTTTACAAGCCCTCCCCTTCTAACCCCGTCCAGATTTTCTGTGACTGTCCAATCACAGACTTCCCAATGCAGCTCAATGAGGAGTATTTGCAAGGCAGGTGCTCTGGGCAATTTATCTCCCCTGAGCTAAACAAACCAAGAAGTAACAGGACCTGCTGTCTGACTGACATCCAGGGGGTGTAACAAGGTTACATTTTACAAGTGACAATTTCTACAGTATTGAAATCTGCACTTTTTATAAAATAAAGAGGACAAACTCTTCACACGTAAAGCATTTCGGCAAGCAATGGTGTTTGAGGTGTCCCTTTAAATATATTTTAGCAAAATACATAAAAATATCGATTCATATTTATAGAAAATACTGTTATGAACTTTTTGAATATTTCTGAATAGAAGCCAGTAAGTACCTATTTCTCACTGTTATCACATCATCCAATCATCCAAATTGTGGAGATACATATAAACAAAAATATTTGGTTGTGTTTTTTTTTTTTAACAGAAAAAAGGTGTAAATCTTCACGGTGCCCATTCAATTCAGGTAAGGAAATAACTTCACTGTGATACTCCTGTCTGTATATCCCCCTCCTATATACTCCCTCCTATATACTACCTCCTATATACTCCCTCCACTATACTACCTCCTATATACCCCCTCCTATATACTCCCACCTGTATATCCCCCTCCTATATACTACCTCCTGTATACCTCTCCTATATACTACCTCCTATATACTACCTCCACTATACTACCTCCTGTATACCGCCTCCTATATACTCCCTCCTATATACCCCCTCCTATATACCCCCTCCTATATATCCCCCTCCTATATACTCCCTCCTATATACTCCCACCTGTATATCCCCCTCCTATATACTACCTCCTGTATTCCCCTCCTATATACTCCCACCTCTATATACCCCTCCAATATAGTCCCTCCTGTATATCCCCTCATATATGCTCCCACCTCTCTGTATACTCCCACCTGTATACTCCCACCTCTCTATATACTCCCACCTCTCTGTATGCTCCCACCTTTCTGTATACTCCCACCTCCCTGTATACTCCCACCTGTATACTCCCACCTCTCATTTGCTGGCTGCATATAATTAATATGAACACTACATTGAATCCTTTACCATGAATATCCTAATTCAGATAGAACTTGACAAATACCAGATTGAAGATCAGGCGAGATGCTCCAAGCTCCATAAACAGGTTCTGGTTCAGCTGACAGAATAATGCACAAACCGTGGGAAGGCAGAAATGTATGTGATTATTTATAGAAATATGGATTAGAAAGAAGTAGTAACAGAAAATGTTATTTTTTTTTCTCATTTTGAAGTAGATTCTGGGAAAGTAAAGAGTGTGAAATAGTTACTTATTTAAAGGGATACAAAAGTAACCATCGCAGCCAGGTGTAGTGGATATGGTAGGAGCACACTGACGCTGTTTCCCAGTAATGACCGTTTTACAATGGCGATGATATTGCTCATTCATTGGATGAGAGCAGAATTCTAGGTCGAGGCCCGAACCAGTGACACCCCAGCGACACTGCCGTAGTTCGAATTACACCTCTAAGGAGTTAGACTCTGTATGGACAGCGTCTCATAGCGAAATTCTGCATGTGGCAAACCTAGCCACTTGTAGGATGCTGGACTATCTGTATCAAAAGGTTGTCTGTAATAACCGCTGTAATGTATGTGTAACATTGGTCTATACTGTTATGTGCATAGAATTCGTATGTTAGCAGCCGAAAGCCGCTAGCATTCATGTATTTCGTTTCACGAACAGCGACTTTACGGGCTGTTCGTGAACCGAATGAGCTACCCCCTAATAGCCCACACATAGAGGGACGTGTGGCACTCATTAACCGATTGCAACATTGTTGCAATCGGTAATTAAAGACTTTCCTTGGTGGCCGTCGTTCAGCTACCGACCACGCGGTGGTCGGCCATCTTGGATCCTTTGTCTCACCAGTGGTGTTTGGTCGTCGAGCGCGTGGAACTGAAAATGGCTACTCGACGGCGCGAACACTGCTGGACTTCCAGGCTGTTTGGGAGCTCCGGTCTTTTCCTATTGTGGTTCCCCATCGGTGTTCGATACTTTTAGGCGAACTCAATGGCATAGTGTATTTTGTGCGGCGTTTGGTTGTTTTAGCTGGGATCTGAGCGGTATTCCCACGAAATGTGCACTCAGACCCCAGCTATCTACCGAATGTCCATTCGTTTAAATAAACTCAATATTGTTAAAGTTATGGATTTAAATGTAAAATGCCGGTTCTGCTGCGCGGAGGGATAATCCACTTAACGGTATATTCCAGTGGGAGTAACCCTCTCGTCCAGCAGTGCTTGATGGGAGAAATGCTCAGAATGTTAAGTCCCCCATGTAGTCCCCTACTGTATTACCCCTGCTATGTCAGTAGGGAAACCCCTTGCATGGGGACTTGCATAAATACTGTGACCTCTGAATAAAAACCTCAGTTGACTCCCAGAACTGTGTTTCGTCCGGTTACTGGGGGATTTGGGATATTGCCTTACTTTTCAGCGCTTGACTACACAAATATTATATCAAAACATTCAGATATCCCTGCTGCCACTAAACATGTCCACGGCTAAGCCATAGTCCCGATAGTTTTCATGCTATGACCATTTGTTTGCAACTCACGCTGTCCATTGACATTCATTGAAACTCCACTCTAGCCAGCTCAAACTTGAAGGGCAATTTCTAAACTGCGACTGTGCCTTCATTTATAATACTTCAGAGACATACTATGCATTAACATGTAGGTCTGGGTCTTGTGATTCTCATGACATGTGCACAGTCGTTATTCGGCATGTGCCAAAACCTTAATAAAATACTCTGTGACACCATTTCTGTTGGAGTATAAAGCCCACAGCTTTATTAAAATTTTTAATTCACAATTTAACAATTTAGGGTCATTGTCACAAGTATTAATTATGTCCGACATTCTTGCCCAATACCCCCGACAATGACCCTACCAAATAACATTAATAAAACATTCCAATAATACATAACTGTAACGGACCGTTTTGCACAAAAGGGGAAAAAAACGCTTAGACGATAATCCCCTTTTCAGAGACAGGCACAGCTACTGAATAATCACCAAAACTCACGAACCGCCAATAAGTGAATGCTCCAAACTCCCGAACGGCATACAAGGGAATAAGGTAGCACTTCAAATAAACGAACAGGAACCATACGAATAGCTGCTAGCAGGCGAACAGGAAAAGCTTCCAAGCGGCTTACACTCCTGGCAATCAGTCCTTAGCAGCATACAGTAAATCCCCCCAAAGACGAGACAAGGCTCCGTGTTGAGGGTCAAGCAGTGGTCTGTTTAATGAGGGCTACCTGCCCGGCTTTTATGCAGGTCTCCCACCTGGTGGACACTCCCCTAGGGGACCAGATGGAAGACTGTGACAAGGGACAGACAAGTATACAAATAGGACACACAGTCACAGTATATTCCCACAATGCATCCTGGCTTCCTCCCCTCTGCCCTGGGAGATAATTGGGAAGTAACTCAATTATCTCCCAAGACAAAGGCAAAACTCCATTACACACGTGGGAACACAAAACCAGCATAACACTTTAAAATGCACAAAGTAACATTTACTACATAAACCACAGACATGTAACATATCCCCAGATAGCTCAGGTCTGAGTGCACATTATTAGGTGAATGGCACTCAGACCACACGAATACAGTTTAATCGCCATGGAGCCAAAGTCTTTACAGTCAGTTTCATACGAATGGGCTCCATGGGATTCCTATCTGGGGTATAAGACATTCACACAAAAATACCGAACACCGGGTCATTCGTGTGCTTTCACCGAACAAGAAGGGAGGTCGGCGGCTTCAGCGGTGTTCGCGCAAAACTGTGTCCGATTTTAGTTCCATGAAAATAGAGGCGAACACCGCTGTTCATTCGTATGGTTTAAAATGGCCGCGACCTCGTGTTCGGGATACGAACGGCGGCCACCCAGCGTTCATCAATTAAGCTGCGGTTAACCGCAGCTTCAGGGAGGTTAATTGCCGGCACACTCCAGCTCCCAGGTGGTCCAGTCATTCGTACGGTTGTTCGGTAGATTGAAACTACCGAACAACCGGCAGAAAAGCATGAATATGGCTTTTCTGCATGGAAAAATAAAGTCTTTTAAAAGGGGGCCATAGTCCAAAGGCAGCAGGCGAGCAACCAGGCTTCTCCAATGCAATGTGGCGAGATTGGTCTCGTCACATCTCTCCCCTTTTCCAAACAGACTAACAGGGTATCTGACCTCCTGCCGGTCAGTGCCCTTGTTAGTCCAGCAGCCCACCCACAACAAATAATCAACAGCACAGCCCACCCACAATAAATGGTTACTACACCTGGGTAAAGGGGAAGCTTGTCCATGTCCAGGTGCCTCACCACGGCTGTGCTGGGTACGGGTACGCTGACTTGGTGGGTTGCTGCGTGGGCAGAGACCAGCGGCACTCTGCCCTGTTGCCAGCGCTACTGGGAGGGTAGCCTGGTGGAAGCCTGGTTGTTGGAGGGGGAGACCGACTGTCTCCCCTTTAAATACACCGCTCTGCTGCTGCTGCTGGAGACTGACTGTCTCCCCTTTAGCTGCACAGTCCTGCTGCTGGAGATCGACCGTCTCCCCTTTGGTTACCCATCTCTGCTGCTGGAGGGGGAGACCGACTGTCTCCCCTTTGGCTAAACAGCCCTGTCGCTGGGGGGCAGGACCGACCGTCCCTACCCCCTGTGCTGGCAGTGTAGAGACTACGGTCCCATCTGCACGGTTGTGGGGCTTACTGTCTCCCCTTTGTACATTAAGCTGCCGCTGGGGAGAGGGGGTAACAAGCTCCTCTCCCATACATACTTCCAGCTGTGGGGGAGGGAGACCGACTGTCTCTGCTCCCAATACAGAGTCCTGCTGCTGGGGAAAGGAGACTGGGCTCTCTATTCCCGGTAGGACACTCTGCCGCTGGGGAATGGAGACTGGGCTCCCAATTCCCAATGATCTGTGCCCAATGGAGAATTCCCAAAGCATCATACTGCCGCTGGGGAATGGAGACTGGGCTCCCAATTCCCAAAGCATCATACTGCTGCCGCTGGGGAATGGAGACTGGGCTCCCAATTCCCAAAAAATCACGCTGCCGCTGGGGAGGGAGGACACTGCTCTCCTCTCCCTGGACTTCCCACTGCCTTCCCGGCATATCACTTGGCTGCTGGGGGGCAGGAACAACTACCTCTGCCCCCTGTAACTCAGCCTGCCGCTGGGGAATGGAGCTCAGGCTCCCAATTCCCTGCAATATCTCCCGCTGGGGAATGGAGCTCGGGCTCCCAATTCCCTGCAATATCTCCCGCTGGGGAATGGAGCTCGGGCTCCCAATTCCCTGCAATTTCTCCCGCTGGGGAATGGAGCTCGGGCTCCCAATTCCCTGCAATTCATTCTGCTGCTGGGGGACAGGAGCGACTATCTCTGTCCCCTGTAACTCAGCCTGCCGCTGGGGAATGGAGCTCAGGCTCCCAATTCCCTGCAATATCTCCCGCTGGGGAATGGAGACTGGGCTCCCAATTCCCAATAAATCACACGGCCGCTGGGGAATGGAGACTGGGCTCCCAATTCCCTGCAGGACCGGTGGAGAGACCTCGGTCCCATCTCTACCGGCCACCTGGGGTTCTTCCCAGAAAATATCCACAATGTCTTCCCAGCTGAATGGGTCTGGTTCTGGCTCTGTCACCTTGCTGTCCTGCTGAATCTTCTCAATGGAGTGGAAGAGATCTCGGTAGTCCTGCTCCAGTTCCCACTCCAGGGTTGCTAGGTGAGCCAGGTCTTGCTCAATGTCGTGAGTGTCGTCCCAGTCATACCTGCTCTCCCTCCACTCCAAGAGATCACTGAACCGGGCTTGTGTAGGGCTCCCAAATTCAGGCTCTGAAAAAACCTCCCATAACAAGCCAGGACCATCAAACTCCTCTCCCTCTGGCTTGTCATGCTCGGCTGTCCAGGGCAGGTACTGTGCCCCATACCACCAGAGCGCCTGGTATGCATCTTCCAGCCAAATCTCCTGCCATACCCGGTGCTCCAATTCCTTCACCCATTCATCTAGGGGCTGCTCTCCCAGGAAGGGCATCCGCAGGGCCACTTGCTTCTGCAACCGCTGCTCTTCACTGGGGAGACTCTCACCCCGCTGGTACTGTACATTATCCAGGGCCTGGTACCAGATGCCTTTCCTTAATGCATCCCGGCCATCCAGGTCCTCCTCCTCGTATGACACTGCTGGTTCCATGCTGTTGCTGTCAGGGTCGCTGTACTCAGACATGCGTTGCCCTCAAATTGTAAATCCACGGAATGGTGTCTCCTGTAGCTGTCCTGTAGTCCGTGGGAACGATCCCACCGCTGCCACCAATTGTAACGGACCGTTTTGCACAAAAGGGGAAAAAAACCGCTTAGACGATAATCCCCTTTTCAGAGACAGGCACAGCTACTGAATAATCACCAAAACTCACGAACCGCCAATAAGTGAATGCTCCAAACTCCCGAACGGCATACAAGGGAATAAGGTAACACTTCAAATAAACGAACAGGAACCATACGAATAGCTGCTAGCAGGCGAACAGGAAAAGCTTCCAAGCGGCTTACACTCCTGGCAATCAGTCCTTAGCAGCATACAGTAAATCCCCCAAAGACGAGACAAGGCTCCGTGTTGAGGGTCAAGCAGTGGTCTGTTTAATGAGGGCTACCTGCCCGGCTTTTATGCAGGTCTCCCACCTGGTGGACACTCCCCTAGGGGACCAGATGGAAGACTGTGACAAGGGACAGACAAGTATACAAATAGGACACACAGTCACAGTATATTCCCACAATGCATCCTGGCTTCCTCCCCTCTGCCCTGGGAGATAATTGGGAAGTAACTCAATTATCTCCCAAGACAAAGGCAAAACTCCATTACACACGTGGGAACACAAAACCAGCATAACACTTTAAAATGCACAAAGTAACATTTACTACATAAACCACAGACATGTAACATATCCCCAGATAGCTCAGGTCTGAGTGCACATTATTAGGTGAATGGCACTCAGACTACACGAATACAGTTCAATCGCCATGGAGCCAAAGTCTTTACAGTCAGTTTCATACGAATGGGCTCCATGGGATTCCTATCTGGGGTATAAGACATTCACACAAAAATACCGAACACCGGGTCATTCGTGTGCTTTCACCGAACAAGAAGGGAGGTCGGCGGCTTCAGCGGTGTTCGCGCAAAACTGTGTCCGATTTTAGTTCCATAAAAATAGAGGCGAACACCGCTGTTCATTCGTATGGTTTAAAATGGCCGCGACCTCGTGTTCGGGATACGAACGGCGGCCACCCAGCGTTCATCAATTAAGCTGCGGTTAACCGCAGCTTCAGGGAGGTTAATTGCCGGCACACTCCAGCTCCCAGGTGGTCCAGTCATTCGTACGGTTGTTCGGTAGATTGAAACTACCGAACAACCGGCAGAAAAGCATGAATATGGCTTTTCTGCATGGAAAAATAAAGTCTTTTAAAAGGGGGCCATAGTCCAAAGGCAGCAGGCGAGCAACCAGGCTTCTCCAATGCAATGTGGCGAGATTGGTCTCGTCACAATAACGTTTAACCCATGGCCTACCAAAGAGGCCCCATAACCATATGTTTAACTGTAGGGGTGTACCCAGACACCCCTACACCGCCAGATTCGTAGCCACCAACGAGCTAGAACCTACAAACCATTTTCCACTCCGGCATAGTCCAGCCTAGACCTTGGCCTGCCCACTTCCTATTCCACCTAAATCCTCTTTAACCCAGGCCCTATTCCGCCACAGCACGTGACTTGACCCCCTCAAGAACACGTGTGACCCCACCACACAAAAACAGGGCCTGTGCAATACCATCCTGAAAACCCAAATTAAGTAAATCCGATCCCACGTCGGATAGATGAACCCCATCCTTCCTAAAATACCCGGGCAGCATACATTCCAACTCCTTGTGACGCACAACTACGCCACCCATCCACCTCACGAAAACCGCCATGGTCTTATTGACCTTGCCCCTACTTCGAGCTATCGCAGCCGAATCCCTGGCGTGTCTCCAATTAAAGCGAGTCACCATTTCGGACCAGACCACTACCACTCCAGGAACCAGCTTACGTAGCCGATCCAAATCCCTCTTCATCCTCAACAGTTCCCGCTGCGGGATCAAGCCTAAGTCGTTCCCCCCACCATGAACCAGAATTATGTTAGGGACTAACCCCCATGCCAGCCTATTGAACAGCTCCTTACTGATGCTCTGCCAACTGAAACCCCTGAAACCCAACCAAGTGATAACCACCGTCTCCACCGGGAAGCCCAGTTGTGCTCCGTCTCTTCTCATCGCGGCCCTCCTCCGCGCCCAATAAACGTAGGAATGTCCGATCAGCCATACCAAACAACCTAAAAGAAATAGAACAGTGAACAGCAGAGCCCTTAACAATTAACGCCCCAATCCCCTGTTACACCAACTTGTCCGGTCTAACGTATGAGCGGAACCGAATGGACTCCCATCTTCCTATCCGTTTGATCCGCTCATCCCCTAGACCTAACCGAGCCGCCTCTGTTGCGGCCCCAATTCTAAACGAATGTGACCCAAAATGCATGGGTTCCAAGCCCAGCTTACCCAATCCTGCATGAAATATCCTAACGAACTGAAAACGGGACAAAGCCTTACCGTCAGCATGGATGAAGAAACAGCCTTCCTTCTCGGGGTGGACTTCCAAGAATTCGGCACCGCAAGCCACTGGGCAAACCTTAGACCCTGGCAATTTGAACAATGTTACCAAGCTTCCTTTGCCGAATATGTCCGTCTTTGAGTGGCACAACTTAATCTGTACCTTATCTTCACCAACGGTCACGTCCCCCAACCGAATCCCACCAACCCCTGCTTTGTTGGTGCTAAGCAGCTTCCCAATACGGAATGCCCCGAAGAATGCCCCGAAGAATGCCCAGACAAACGCCCCGGAAAACAACACAACTTCATATTTGGAGTAACATAATGTCGGTAGAGCCTCCACTAGTCCTTGCAGCACCGCGAATGACACTGGCCTCCTCATATCCACCGATTTCTTACCCCTCCGAAAACCTCTTATGGCTTGCCTGACCAAGAAATGTTTCGTGATATCCTCCCATCCATTAAATTTAAATAGGAAGGCCAACGCCGACATGTGCCTGTCAACCATAGCTGGTGAAGCCTTCATGGAAAAAAGGCAACACAGCACCCATAACAGTATATCTAACTGATGTCCTTCTGAACAGTCCCCTCCCACTTGTGCCACCGACTCTTCCCATTCGTGCCAAACCTTCACATATGCCACCCAGGTGCCTGGTGCCAGTGAACTCTTTATGAACTCCCCAAGCATGATGTCCCGAGCTGCCACATTTCCGCCGGACATGCCAATCCTTCCTCTTGTGCCTCTGGCGCTGCTTCCCGAAAACAATCCCACTGTGAACGAGACAGCGCGTCAGCCACTATATTCAAGAAACCTGGAACATGCCTTGCCCTGAACACTATATTGCTAGACATACATAGAAGTACCAAATGCCTTAATAACCGTATTACTGCAGGAGATGATGCCGACAACCCATTGATAGCCTGGACCACTGCCATGTTATCTGAGTAAAATACCACTTTTTTGTTTGCTCCGTTTTCCCCATAACGCCACCGCTACCACCACCGGGAAAAATTCTAGGAGCGCAAGGTTCCTTATCAGCGAGCTCGTCTTCCACTCCGCTGGCCACTCCTCGGCGCACCATTGCCCCGCTAAATAAGCCCCAAACCCCAGGCTCCCGGAAGCATCTGTAAACAAGCCGATGTCCTTGGAGGATACTCCCGGCTCCGGAAAAAACACTATACCGTTAAATTCCCTTAGAAACCTTTTCCAAACCCCCAGATCCGCTCTCATATCCGCCGAAACCTTCACGTAATGATTCGGCAACCACACACCGCTCGTCGCCTGGGCCAGCCGTCTACAAAAAACTCTGCCCATCGGAATCACTCTGCATGCAAAATTAAGACTCCCCAATAGCGACTGCAGCCCTCGCAAAGTCACTTTTCTCGCATGCCACACCGTGTCCACTAGCTGACAAAGCTTAAGTAGTTTGTCCGCGGGCAGTCTGCATTCCCCTTTTACAGAGTTAATCTCCAGGCCGAGGAAACTAAGGCATGAGGTGGGGCCAACCGTCTTATCCCCTGCCAAAGGAACCCCAAAAGAGTGTGCTATCCATTGAAACACCCTCAGTATCTGGCCACACCACTCAGATCCTTCCGGCCCTACACACAAGAAATCATCGAGGTAATGCACGATTGATCCACCAGCCGACTCCCGTCGTACCACCCATTCCAAAAAGGTGCTAAACTTTTCGAAATAGGAACACGAGATGGAACAGCCCATCGGTAAACACAGGTCTACGAAGAAACCCCCTTCGAAGAAGCACCCCAGAAGGTGGTGACAACCCGGATGAATGGGGAGCAGCCGAAATGCTGCTTCCACGTCCACCTTTGCCATCAGTGCACCGTGTCCCGCTCTCCGAACCAACTCGACTGCATGGTCGAATGATGCATAGGATACGGAACACAGCGCTGCGTCGATATCATCATTCACCGATGACCCGCGTGGGTGTGATAAGTGATGTATCAGGCAAAATTTCCCTTCCTCCTTTTTAGGGACTACCCCCAGCGGAGACACCCTTAAATCTTCTATCGGCGGGGACGGAAACGGCCCCGCCATCCTCCCCATCTGGACTTCTTTCATTAATTTTTCCCACACTACCCCCGGGTGATCCCGTACTGATTTAAGGTTTGCACACATGGTTCCCGGACCTTTGACCTTGAATGGGATAACAAAACCCTCTGTAAACCCCCGCCATAAGAATCTTGCCTCCTCCTGGTTACCGTACTGCCTTAACCAAGGCAGCATCGCGCCGACCTTCACCGGTGACGTTCCCAGTCGCCACTGTTGTGGCTGATGTCCCTGCTGCACCCCCGAAGTTAGATTTTCCTTTCTTAAAGCACCTGTTGACTCCATGATTTCCCCCGCATCCGGAACATTCATGTTTAAATCTACACGATGCCCCCCATTTGCACTGCCCTTCATTGTACAGCCAACAGAACCCTTTCTTCTGTCCGGCCAATACAGCGCTTCCCGTGGCCGTACCGGCCGTCCCTTGAAAGGGCGCATTTTTCTGGGCCATCATTATTCTCATCCATAAAGGCAGGTCCATCTGATCCCACCTCATACTAGGATTCGCTGCCAACCGTTGGCGGAATTGTTCGTCGTACCGCCACCATGCTAATCCCCCATAAGTCCTGTAAGCATCCCCTATCCCGTCCAAATAACAAAACAGCTGCGAACATCGTTCTGGGTACTTTTCCCCGACTACGCTCGCCAAAATACAGAAGGCCCTGAGCCAATTCCCAAAAGTCTTGGGTATCTTCCGATACCGCCGCTTTTTCTCCTCCTCCTCTTTTTTGGCGTCCTTCTTATCCTCTTCCTTCAGGTCGAGAAATTCCTCGAGTGGAAGTAAGGAGAAGATTTCCATGAATTCCCCTCTCCCAATTTTTTCTTTTACCTCTGCTTTCAGGTGACATCCTAGTGGTCCCGCGAAGGACACATGCACGTTTTGCCGTGCCACGTCCGCTATCTCACCACCCCAACCGCCTGTTGGCCAGACCCGACTGCCTTTCCGGTTCCCGACTCACCGTCCCCCGTTTCGACGGCACCCGACTTGTGTGTCACCATCCTCTCTGCCCCTTGTTCTTCATCTCCCCTGTCCTCTGGCGACCATACCCTTCCAAACTGCAGGGTTGACCCCTCTTCTCCCGCCCAGGAGTTAATGAAAGATTTTAAGCAACCCAATAAGGACCCAGTGTGCGGTGTACTTTGTGACTCACCGCCAGTGCCCCCGACCATGGCCGGCCGCGGGGTTGCTGTCCTTCCGTCCGCCTTTTCAGGCTCCGGAGACTCCTGTTGCCGCCGACTCCTTTCCGCCGGGCCTCTCCTCGGGACCGTAGGTGTCACACTCCTCGAACTGCCGGGAAAATATAACCTGGGTAGTCTGTCCACGTGTTGTCCTACCCGCCTTTCCTCCCTGCGTTCCCTCCTCCTGTCCCTATCGCTGCGCTGTCTCGCTGCCTGACCGTCCCGGCCGTAAGACCTCTTCTGCTGGTCCTTTAAACTCCCGCCCGATGAACTGGAAGCACTGCACCGACATCTTAGTTTCCGTTCCCTGGTGCTTAACCTCTGCCTGCTCCGGTGGCTCCTGGACTGGCTCCTGTCCCTGCTCCTCCCATGCTCTGCTGACCTCCTCTGGGTGCTGCTCCTGTCCCCTTCACTGCGCCGCTCGCTACTCACTCCTCGCCTCCTGACCCAGCTCCTGTCCTGCTGCGCCTGAGAGCGGCCCATAGGGGGCTCCCGCTCGCCTCTGACCCCTCTGCATGGCTCCTTCCTCCTCAGCCCCTGCGGCTCCTCCATGTCCCTGCAACCTCCTGTCGCTGACCTGCCTTCTCCTCACCTGTCATCCCGGCAACTTCCTGAGGGCATGGATTCACCCCCCCTCGCAATTCCCATCTGCCCGGAGACGCTGCTGCCCCTGTCACTGCTACCTGTCCTGGACCTATTCCCTGTGAGGGTTAAGCCCGTCCCTGGCCTGCCATCTGCCTCTCTACCTGCCACCTGAGGGGGCGCTGGCGTCGAGCTGTCCTCAAGCAACCCATCCTCCTGCCCCTCAGTATCACCACTAGGGGCGGACTCACCGGGGCGCTGAAGTTCCGGACCGTTGTGGCCCTGCTGCCTGGCTGCCATCCCAGCTGCACTGGATCCAGCCGTGTCCTTCTGCCTCCCGCCCGCGGACTTGCCGCGGGGCCCTCTCCCACCGGCGGGCTTCCAACTAGCGCCCGCCCGGCACACTCCAACCTTTGAGGCCCGTCCTTCCGCCTGGGCCGCCTTTTCCCCACTTTGCGGCGCTGGGCTCCTCCTCCTCCTCGCCGCCGGCGGTGCTCCCGGGCTGAGTCGTTGGGGCGGACGTGCCCTCCTGGTCGGCCTCCTCTCCAACACCGCAGTGGGGGGAGCAGACGTGCTCGGGACCCCCAGTTGATCCTGCAGCCACGCCATCCCCTTCTCTTCCACCATTCTTCTCACACCGGCCAAGATTTCTTCAGCAGAAGCCATCCCTGCAAGAAAAAGAACAGACCACACAGACCTGACAAGTATCAAGTAAGTGTGATTTTGATTAAAAAGACCACTTCACCAAAATGGCTGTTATTTAAACCCTTATTCTCCTCCCCCCCCTGTCCAGACATTACTTTTCCACACCCCTTGACCTTAACTTCACCTGCCCACTCTCTGGCCCTGTCAAGGCCCACTCCCCCCCTGCGTTGCTCCATGGGCTTCACAATATAAAGCTTTTCGCTGTAGGATGCCAGGCAGGAGCAGCAAGTGATGTCATAGACAGGGCCTTTTGTACACCTGCTAATGTTTTTATAAATGTATGTTTTAATGTAACTGTGAAGTACTTTGGGCAACAACGTTGCAATTAAATGTGCTATATAAATAAATAAAAGTTGAAATGCATTTCTCACTCTATCAAGCTTGCCATGTGCACCTTTTAAATTTGATAAATCAATTGGTTAGTGTAATGTTTACTATCTTTACTCACTCCAAAAACTCCACACAGTTACGCTGCCCAGTCCAACCACACAACAGTTACTCAAGCCACTCCACCCAGTTACTCCGCCCACACCAGTTGTAGACTACTGGTAAAGGCAAGAACACTTCACACAATTTCCCCAGAAATTGTAGCATTTCCTGTTTCACTTTGTTTCTTTTCCATATGCTCTCTAGACTTGGGAACAAATGCGTTTCAGCCGGTTAGAATGAATCAAACAAACAATTATAGAAGAAATTCGAGCCAATATATACGGGAAGAACACACAAAAAAGGGGGATAAATTGTTAAATGTCAAAATAACAAAAGACAGAAAGAAAAAGGAAATAATAATAGGCTTGTGTTCCTAATGTGAGAGGGAGTGAAATTAGTAGAAACATGAAACAGATAAATTATAACCTGTATGAATATATTGGAGTGTGAGCTGTGTGTGTATATTGGACTAATTAGCTGTATGTGTATATTGAAGTGTGTATCTGTGTGTATATTAGAATGTGTAGCTGTAGCTGTGTATTGGAGTGTGTATCTTTATGTGTATATTCAAGTTTGTAGCTGTGTGTATATTGGAGTGTGTAGCAGTGTGTGTAGTGGAGTATGTAGCTGTGTATATTGCAGTGTATATGTATATTGGAGTGTGTAGTTGTGTGTGTAGTGGAGTGTGTAGCTGTATGTGTATATTGGAGTGTGAGCTGTGTGTGTATATTGGACTAATTAGCTGTATGTGTATATTGAAGTATCTGTGTGTATATTAGAATGTGTAGCTGTGTGTGTATTCGAGTGTGTATCTGTGTATTGGAGTGTGTAGCTGTGTGTGTATATTAGAGTGTGTAGCTGTGTGTATATTAGAATGTGTAGCTGTAGCTGTGTATTGGAGTGTGTATATTTATGTGTATATTAGAGTGTGTATCTGTGTGTGTAGCTCTATGTGTATATTGGAGTGTATCTGTATATTGGAGTGTGTAGCTATGTGTGTATATTGGAGTGTGTAGCTGTATGTATATATTAGAGTGTGTATCTGTATGTGTATATTCAAGTTTGTAGCTGTGTGTATATTGGAGTGTGTAGCTGTGTGTGTATTAGAGTGTGTATCTGTGTATTGGAGTGTGTAGCTGTGTGTGTATATTAGAGTGTGTAGCTGTGTGTATATTGGAGTGTATCATTTGTACGGGCAGAACTGTACTTGCTGCGAGGCAAATAAGGGATTTGCTTAGAGCGGAACTTTAAAAAAATGCCATTGGGCCCTCCCAAGGCTCTTCCTGCTCCTTCGCACGCCCTTCTATGATGCCGGGAGCTGGAATATGACATCACTCTGGCCCCGGCAGTGCGCAAGGGAGCAGGAAGAGCTCAGTTCCCTCGCCACCTCCATTGAGTGTCTGCCCGGACTGCCAGCAAAGTCAGCCGAGCGAACAAGGAGCCTTCCAACCCTGTCAGCCCAGCCAGCAAGGGGTCTTCTTACCCGCCCAACCAGCAGGAGCCCGACTTGTCAGCCCAGCCAGCAAGGAGGCTTCCTGCCCGCCCAGCCAGCAGGAGCCCGCCTTGCAGCAGCCAGAGACAGGATCCACTCCAGCTCTCCCAAAGGTAGGGAGGCTGGGTGGTTTTAAATTGTTTAAAAAAAATTATAATTGGTGAGTGTATGAGAAAGTGTGTGTGTGTTTGTTTGTATGTGGCTGTCAGTGAATGTGTGTGTCTGTCAGTGTGTATATATTTCTGTCAGTCAGTGTGTGTTTGTGTCTGCCAGTGTGTGTGCGTGTCTGCCAGTGAGTATGTTTGTGACTCTCAGTGAGTGTGTGTGTGTGTGTGTCTGTCAGTGAGTGTGTGTCTCTGACAGTAAGTATGTCTGTGACTGTCAGTGAGTGTGTGTCTGTCTGTCAGTGAGTGAGCGTGTGTGTGTGTTTCGGGGAGTGTGTGCATGTGTGTCTGTCAGTGAGTGTGTATGTGTCAGTATGTGTGTGGCTGTCAGAGTGTGTCAAATTGGTGAGGATGTTTGTGTCAGTGTGTGTATGTCAGTGTATGTGTGTCTGAGAGTGTGTGCCTGTCAGTGAATGGGTGTCAGTGTGTGTGTGTCTGTCATTGAAAGTGTGGGTTGTTTAAACAGTGTGTGTGCCAATGACTGTATGCGTGTGCCAACGACAGTGTATCTGTCAGTGAGTGTATGTCAGTTCATGTGTCAATGAGGGCGTGCGTCTGTCAGTCAAAAAAGTGGCCTTCACACGAAGTGGTGGAGCAAATTTAGATTAGGGCGGTGCCTGAATTTAGTTGTGCCTAGGGCAGCACAAATGCAAGATACACCACTGTATGGGAGTAAGAATTTGGGTGTATATATGCCCATCTTGCGATATAAATCTGAGGCCCCCAAGACAGAACGGCTAGACCAGTGTCCCTCCTGTAATTTGAATTTGAGACCCTGTTATAGACACTTATTGCACAGTCTCAGTATTACCTTCATCTGATGGTTTGTTCTCTATGATTAATCTTATTTTATGAACTTGTCTCTACACTCACAGGCTCCAGGATAAAGATGGATCCTCTGCAGATTATTCTGATCAGTTTGTTTGTGTTACTGAGAGATTCCCTTGGAAGGTGTCTCTGGATCTAACTTTAGATTACCACCAGCAAAGTATTCCTATGATCCCCGCTACGAGTGTCTTGGTGCAGCCTGCAATGCCATCACTAATTTAACCTCCATCACCATTTCTCATCACACACTGGTTCCAGAGCTATGGATTACCATGGAGTGAGATTGTGTAGTCCAGTCGAATGGGAAGCTTGTGAATTAAAGTGTCAGTCTCCCTATAGCTACGTGTGTTTATTCAGTGAGTTATGTGTCATTTTATCTTTTACCCGTCTGTCTATGGAGCTGGTTATGATATATTAACCAGTAGAAGCAATGCCAGGATTTAGGGGGGGAGGGGGGTTGCATTATTGTGTAAAAAGAAAAATGATGCTGATTTTACTAATTAAAATGATCAGTAAACAGATTTTTTTAATTTGAAAGTCATGAATCATATTGAATCCCGTGTCCTGTCATGGGGTGAGATGAAGGGAGATGACGCAACACATATTGTTAGGAAATTCACAATTAAAATGCAGAAATGCTTACTTATCACATTTATTTCCCTCTCCCCGATACTGCCCTGTTTTAATGGGGTGATCCCCTGTTACTCTGGGGCAGAGTGGGTTGGAGAGGGTTAATAAATACCCACTAGGACTGGGAGGTCTACTGGAACATGATAACAACAGCAACATTTTCCCAGTACAGTGCAGTGCACAGCGTTGGATGGTTCCACATATTGTAATGTTACAACTTAAATAAAACGAATGGAAACGAATGCAACCCAACGTAAGCGAAACGTGTCGGACTCCAGGTGCATGCTGGGAGGAAAATACCAATGATTTCATACTGTCCTGGGTATTTGTGTGTTATCTTACATAGTTACATAGCTAAAAAAAGACTTGCGTCCATCAAGTTCAGCCTTCCTCACATATATTTTTTGTTTCCTTATTATTAGGATTTATATAGCGCTAACATATTCAGCGGCCCTTTACAATTATTGACAGCGGTATATTTGATAACAAGTAACTGACATACAGGGACAATAGGTGAGGAAGGCCTGGTCAAAACCACTTTGCAGTGGAAGTATATCGTTAGCTGTCTGGTCCCCAGATACGGTCTCTTGAGGTCGTCTGACAGGGATTCGAACCCGGGTCTCCTCGTCCTAAGATGTTATCCATGTGTTTTCTTTGTTTGTATGCTAACTATTTTTCCAAACTTACATTCATGAAATTAAAATGTATCCATCTTTTAAAAAACGAGTCATTCTTGTCTTCCTGCGCTGCCGTCACAGAGCCTGAGCATTGAATTCTCTTGAAATGCGTTGTGTCTTTTTTAGAAATTGCAGCTGCATGAATGGGTGATGTATGAGATTTATCGGCCACTCAGACTCTATTAAGTGAAGTGTATATCTCTAGTACAGGGAGAAGACTCTATCTGAATATACTTTTAATAACCTGTCAGTACATACGGCAGTTGTTTCCTGCCGTATGTACAATAAGCTCCACCAAATGTGAGTGAAATATATTTCCTTTGATTATATACCACATCAGGACCAACAATATTTCACCATAGGCAGCTTTCTTTCTTGTTTTTTATCTTCACATATATGGACTACCTACCACACGGACGGAGCCATACTTGAGGATTAATATCGTGGTACTACATATCAGTGAGACTGTTTTTATTCTATATTTTTGAGAAAATCCGGATGAACTTTATTTGATTTTATCACCGCTGTTTATTTTACATATACACGATCTTATATATTTCAACATATCTGTTTTACCTAAGCGCAGCCCTTGACCACCTCTTTTTTCGCATTTCCTACATAAGGGTTCCGTGAGGGATCTCCCTTTTTGGGTTGCTGCTCAATTGAACTAGCGCAGACTCTTCCTCTGTTTTGTTTCCTGATTTGTTGTGGTTCAGTCGCAGCATTTACTGGTTTTAGACCAAGAATAAGCAATGTCAGGGCCGGCGTGTCCATAAAACGGCACAGACGGCTTCATTAGGGCGCCGGGGGGGGTGTAGGGGGCCGGGGGTGAAAGAATCCAAATCTCCTGCCTCTGGCTGGGGACTTGGATTTTTCAAATGACCTCGCTCTCCCTGCAGCGGCCTCTCCTGATGATGTCAGGAGGAGGGGGTGTGATTTCCTCTGCTCTTCTCCCAGACTCCCCAGGGAATGGCAAAGTAGCAGTGGAAGTCACGCACCCTCCTCCTGACATCATCATTTACTGGCTGCTGTGTGCAGGATGCAGGCTCCAGCTCATGTCTCACCCCTCCCTGGGCCAAGGTAAGCCTCAGGGAGGTGGGTATACATTTTTATTGGTTTCTTTAATCCAATTTTTTTTTAGCAGCCCCTGTGCCCCCCTCTCCAGCAGCTGTTCCCCCCTCTATAGCCCCTTCCCCCCCTCAGTCCCTGCTCCTGCTCATCTCAGTCCCTGCCCCATTCTCAGTCCCTCACCTTCTCTACAGCTCCTGCCCCCCAAGTCCCTGTCCACCCCCCCACTAGAACTCATGTGCCCCTCTCTCAGCCCCTGTGCACCCATCTACAGTTAATGCCCCCTTCTATATCTCTTGCCCCTCTCTTCAGCTCCTGCACCCCCTCCAGCCCCTGTGTCCCCCCTCTAAAACTCCGGTGCCCTTCTCTCAGTCCTTCCACCACAGCTCTTGAGTCCTCCTCTACAGCTCTTGTGCCCCCACCACGGACCCTACCCACCTCTAACCACAGCCCCTGTCCTCCCCTCTCAGCCCCTGTCCTCCCTGTGATGGACCGCCTGGCCCCCCCGACTGGGTACCTCAGTCAATCGCTGCTTCCTAGTACTTGCGATTACCATGGGCACCACACCGGACACCATAACCACCATAAACCCCACAAACCACCACAGCTTGTTTGGGGTCTCACTGCCCTCCACCCACCTTGGACCCAAGACCAGGATCCAGCTTCCAGTGGGTAGACCTCTCTTAGTCCAGAGAGTAAAGCAGGATAGCTCTTACAAGAGCTAGTGATTATAATCCCAGGGAGTATAAGGAGTATAGAGTCCTCAGAGTGTGAATATAGCTCCAAATCCCCCAAACATGAGCCTAGACTTCATGAAGGGGTAAGACTTTCTGTTTAATGGCAGCCACAACTGGCCTTATATGCAGGTCTCCATGCAAGGAGACCCTGGCGGAATGGGTTATCCAATTAGAGGAGCTGGTCCAAAAAAGAATTGTGGCTGGATGATTTTTACCAGGTCTTAAGGTGGTATGCAGTCCAGCAGTACCCATTTCTAGAGGGTGACGACCCTCCAGAGGCTGAGGGCTCTTAAGAGGCGCCTCTTATGTCCAAGTCACCCTGTGCTTATTAGGGGCACAGGATGACCCGGAAGCCCAGTCTGGCCTGCCCAAACCAGACTTCCACGAACTGATCAGTTTTAAGGGCTCCATACACCAGACCTGGACAAACTTCCAAATGATGTTGAACTTTGTCGAAGAGGCTGCCAGGATGGATGGACATTTTGTGACTGGTTACCGACTGGTACTTGGTTAGTCTACCTTTTGGGGGGGAAGATATGTGACGGTAGTCACCATCACTGGGGATGGAAGACAGACACTATGTGTAGGTCCCCAGATTCCTTTTGTGTTTTGCCTTTGCCCAGTATTGATGCAGGGTATGTTGAATGAATTAATTGTCTGTGCCTTTCCTCCCCCCCTTCCCCTTTTTCTGCCCTATTTTATCACCTGCAGGACACTGGCAGACCAGTTTAAACTGGCTGCTCTGTCCCTCCCCAATCTCCAATCAGCCTTTGCTATTGTCTGACCCCACCCTCCCTTGTACTGCATGGCTTTATGCACCCTATTGTATGCAAATGAGGTGGTTGGGGGCATAAATATGTTTTGTTCATTAAAGTTAGTTGCTGTTTTAACCTTTACCAAGTGTCATCTGGTGTTTGGGGAAAGGAATATTGTGACAGATCCCTCTGTCTTGGAACTGCTGGGTTAGTCTGTTTTTCGGTTAATTGCCTGTCCGTACCCCCCATTCGTTTATTTCCTAAACTCGCGAACCCACCAAGCCTGGAAGTGTGCTGCTGGTTAACCTCTGAAGTGCTAAAAGTGGGGCAGTCACCATAGAAACCAGCAGGCACATCCCTTTGGTTTATCTCTCCCTTTTTCCATATTTGCAGCACTTTACAGAACAGACACTTTTTATATATCACTCCAAATGCTCTTTAACTGGCTCCTCACACTTAATGGCTGCCCTGAAAATAAGCCATACACACAAGATAATAAAAAGGTCATGGAAGAAATGGAGGAATCAGAAACTGAAGCTCTGGATCAATGTCTGAACATTGGAACCAAATCCAAATATATTTTAATGAGCTGCATACATTATGTTTCCTCAATAAGTTAGAAATTATCATTAAGAATAAAGAATTTTAGTATAAGTTAAGCACAGAAAATGGAGAATGAAACTTTTATAGACATCTAATCATTTCAGATGGAAGGGGCATAGAATATGTATTTAACTTTTTCAATGCCAAAGCAGTGGACAACAAGAAATAATCCATAATGTCTATTACTATAGATTGTGCTGCATAGAATGAACAATAATCCCCCAAAAATCAAAGCTAAACATCACAGAGCCTGCACTTTAAACCATCATCAGGAAAGTAGAATGTTTTACTGTAATCAGAAAACACGAAGAGCTGGGTGTTCTTCTCCAATACAATGTTATACTTTGTTTTTTCTCTGCATTCAGCTTTAATCTATAGCACTGAATTAGTATTGAATATCCCTCCGGCTGGTACCCCAACACCCTGAGACATGGGCATTGTTTAATCTTCCTCAAAGGCTGTGAAGGCCAAGGATAGAAATAGATACCCCACCTCCCGTATATTGTCCATCATACAGAGTGGTGCAGATTGAGGTACCATCGACCCGTATATTGTCCATCATACAGAGTGGTGCAGATTGAGGTACCATCGTCCCGTATATTGTCCATCATACAGAGTGGTGCAGATCAAGGTACCATTGTCCCATATATTGTCCATCATACAGAGTGGTGCAGCTCAAGGTACCATCGTCCCGTATATTGTCCATCATACAGAGTGGTGCAGATCAAGGTACCATTGTCCCATATATTGTCCATCATACAGAGTGGTGCAGCTCAAGGTACCATCGTCCCGTATATTGTCCATCATACAGAGTGGTGCAGGTTGCAGGCTCATCGACCCATATATTGTCCATCATACAGAGTGGTGCAGATTGAGGTACCATCGTCCCGTATATTGTCCATCATACAGAGTGGTGCAGATCAAGGTACCATCGTCCCGTATATTGTCCAACATACAGAGTGGTGCAGGTTGCAGGCTCATCGACCCATATATTGTCCATGACACAGAGTGGTGCAGATTGAGGAATCATCGTCCTGTATATTGTCCATCATACAGAGTGGTGCAGATCGAGGTACCATCGTCCCATACAGAGTGGTGCAGGTTGTAGGCTCAACAACCCTACAATCATACAGAGTGGTGCAGGTTGCAGGCTCATCATCCTGTATATTGTCCATCATACAGAGTGGTGCAGATTGAGAGCCCAATGTCCTGTATATTGTCCATCATACAGAGTGGTGCAGGTTGCGGGCTCATCGACCCATATATTGTCCATCATACAGAATGGAGCAGGTTGAGTGCCCCATGTCCTGTATGTTGTCCATCATACAGAATCGAGCAGGTTGAGGGCCCATTGTCCTGTATATTGTCCATCATACAGAGTGGTGCAGGTTGAGGGCCCCATTGTGTAACCTGGCAAAAATAGTCATCAGACTGAGGGCTGTGACAATGGCAATTGCAGCAGCGCTGGAACACTGAAACACAAATGGCAGATTTGATTTTATCAGCAGATAATATTGAGTTGGCCCACCATGTCTCCACAACCAAGACTGTGAATAACCTCAAAACTATATGAAAATCTAATAAAATCTGTAAACCTGCCCCTTGCTGTCTGGCCAGGAAATATACACTTTTAATTCAAACATCATTATTTTTATTATTATTATTATTATTGCCATGCTTATTTATATAGCCACAACAGATTCCGTAGGGCTTTACAATATTATGAGAGGGGGGATTTAACTATAAATAGGACAATTACAAAAAACTAACAGGAACGATAGATTGGAGAGGACCCTGCTCAAACGAGCTTACATTCTATCATGAATTATACCTTCACCCCTATGAGGGTATCATTAATAGTATTTATATTATTGGTGCTATTAGCTTCCCTTACCTTCAGCAGAG